TAGGCACATCAACCATAACTCCTTCAAAAACAGCCAGAAACCTTGGAGTTATGATTGATGATCAGCTGACTTTCTCAGACCACATTGCTAAAACTGCCTGGTCCTGCAGATTTGCTTTATTCAACATCAAGAAGATCATGCTTCACACATGCTTCACAACTCCTTGTTCAAGCTCTTGTTCTGTCCAGGCTGGACTATTGCAATGCTCTCTTGGTAAGTCTTCTAACCAGTTCTATCAAACCTTTACATTTAATCCAGAACGCGGCAGCAAGATTAATTTTTAATGAGCCAAAATGAATGCATGTCACACCTCTGTTTATCAATTTGCACTGGCTACCAATAGCTGCTCGCATAAAATTCAAGGCATTAATGTTTGCCTACAAAATCACCACTGGCTCTGCAGCCATTTACCTAAATTCATTACTTCAGACTTATGTGCCCTCTAGAAGCTTGCGTTCTGCAAGTGAATGGCGCTTTATTGTGTCATCCCAAAGAGACACAAAATCACTTCCACAGACTTTTAAATTAAATGTTCCCTCCTGGTGGAATGACCTGCCCAACTCAATCCGAGCAGCTGAGTCCTTAGCCATCTTCAAGAATCGGCTAAAAACACATCTCTTCCATCTTTTTTTGACCCTCTAACTCTAGCGCTCTCTATTCTAATTATATTCTTAAAATAAAATAAATAAAAAAAACACTAGCTTTTCTAATCCTTTTGTATTCTATCGGTTTTCTTTTTATTTATTATATAATTTTAAAAAAACCTTGCTACGTGTACTACGTTAAGCTGAGACTTGTTATAGCACTTGCATATCATTGCTGTTTTGTTGATTTTGATTGCTTCCATTGTCCTCATTTGTAAGTCACTTTGGATAAAAGCATCTGCTAAATGACTTAATGTAATGTAATTTAATTTTGGAGATTATCACATACGTATGCAACATATCTACGCCGATACACTGTTTATGTTGTTTACGTTTTGATTTGAATGTAAACAACGTATCGGCGTTCATATGTTGCATACATTGTTTACGTATGTGATAATCTCCAAAATGGCGATTAGACGAATTGTTGAATAAAGTCGTTGTTTTTGTTTTCTTTGCATACAAAAAGTATTTTCAAAGCTTCGCAAAATTACGGTTGAACCCCTGATGTCACATGGATTATTTTAACGATGTCCTTACTAGGTTTCTGGACCTTGATCGTGTAAGGACCCTTGCTGTCTATGGGAGGGTCAGAGAGCTCTCAGAATTAATCAAAAATATCTTAATTTGTGTTCCGAAGATGAACGAAAGTCTTACGGGTTTAGAACGACATGAGGGTGAGTAATTAATGACAGAAAATGACATTTTTGGGTGAACTACCCCTTTAAGTGGAAAGTTTCATATTATTCAGAACCATATTATTCATTTAAAGGACAGTTAATTGGTTATTGGCCTTTCCCACCTTAGTTATTAGTATCTGTAAAATCTACTGTCGTTGATCTTTCATTTTAAAAATACTAATTAAACAAGTATTTCAAAATGCATGAATTTATAATTTGGTTGTTTTGAACTGAAAGTGAATTAAATAATTGCACATTTGTCTTTTTTAACACTCCTATTAAGATTTACGCATATTAATAGTCAGTTTCTTGAACATACGGATTAAGCAACATTAAGTTTTCAGTGACGGCAGATTTTTTTTATTAAACCGTGTTTAATTTGTGTTTCTTGAGCTTTTTTAAATCGCTGTTATTCTTTCAGTGTTGTGGCATACTCTGTGGTCATGGGAGCTCTGATGGCCAGCGGGAAAGAGGTGCTGGGCCGAATCCCATCTGGAAAGGTAACGACATTAATGATTTAACGAGACACATGACACTTTGTAAGTGTCTATTGTAATACTTTACTCTTTCTGGTTTGTCTACCAGCTGTTTGATTTCGAGGCCATGACTACAGTCAGCCCTGATCGCTTCAGCAAGACCGTCAAGAGTTGGATGAACTTAAAGAGGTACAACTTTAATGTTTTGAGTCCTAGGCAAGCATCCCATGAATGCTCATATTCGAAAACCACTAACACTTTCTTCTTTCTCTCTCTGTAACTAGTTTGCCGAGTTGGTACCAGAACCTTCCATCGGTTTCAGAGACGTTCCAGTTAACGAGGACCATGATTGAAGTTCTTAACACAGACTCATCTTCGCACTGTCCCAAGAAATCCTGAACTTGAAATACCATCAATATATTCAAAACACAAAGGGCCGTCTCTACTCAGGGCATCTTTGCTCACAGTCCTCACTTTTACATGGTTTTTACATATCGAATATCAGAACAAATTCTCTTTGATTTTAGCTTTTATATTTCCACAAATATGGAGAATTGACTCTTTATTTAAATTTTAAATTAAATATAAATTTGGGTTGCCCTTTATTATGTCACTAAAGTTCAGCAATTGCAAGCATAATCTGAGTTGGAAAAAAAAACTGCGGAATATAATTGAAAATCTTTATTAAGTTATTATTCATCAGTTGCTTTTCACGGACCTTTTTGGTTTTAGAATCAAATCGGTGACTTGTTGCGGAGATGTCCTTTGAAGAGTTTATTAAGCAGTATTCTTCAGCTCCGAGTTCCTTTCTGAATACTTGAACACAGTGGGGAAATATGTTTGCAGATGTTTTTGTTTGTTTGAAAGAGAAGTTGTTAATATTGCCATGTTCACTGTCCACACTGGCTTCTTTATCATTTTTGTTGTCTCTATTTAATGGCTCAACTGAATATTGTGCGCTCAGATTCTGGAGGTGTTCATGAGACCTTAAACACTGGGAACAGTTGTGCCTCAATCTATAGTTGAATTAAAGCAACAAAAAAAAAGTCTTATTTCGTAAATCTTATACATCTTTGATTTTATTTGATCTTCGTAAGGGTCCAATTTAAGTAGATTTTCAGTTTTCTTCTTCATGTCATGGTTGGTGCTTTTTGGCAAAGATTTATTTCCTTAATTTTCCTGTGAAAAATAATTACGAAAAACTGTGGCGATTTTCCATGAGGGAAAATAAAGGCGAGTTCTTTAACGCACAAAAAACTTGAAAGTGGAAAATCAATAAAAGCAGTTGAATGAAACCACTGTTGTTGTATTTTAATCCCCTTTTGATCTCCTTTTTTGTGTACCAAAAATAAAAAATATAGAAATGTATTTATTTGTTTATATATTTTCACTTTACTATATTTACTGAACAGCATAGACAAGCCGGCTTGTAGTATGCAGTACTTCAGTGAGCCACTAGATGTCGTCCCGTTCAATTCCATTTCTATTGAAGTTTCTAACTCATTATTCAGAAGTGAGTTATTATTGCCCAAACGTGCTGCTGCGGAAAAAGCTGAGGGGATGACACGTGGTGCCTGTTACTTTTCTCAGCGCATTTGAGGCTTAACCAATCACCGTTTAGTTTCCCTAATCGCCAGCTCATCTGGTCTGCTGATGACAGGTGATCAGTGCAGTGTGAGTAACTCACTGTAAACTCAGCGGTCAGCATGGCTACTGAAGTGGGCCAAAACACACTCATAGAGGCTTTGAAATAACTGATAGGATTTGGTACAAAATCTTTAGAATATGTAGAAAAGGACGTCGCCAAAGGTATCCTAAACAATCTGAGATTTTACCTCTTATTGGTGTGCTACGTATTTATGTATCCGAGTGTATGAAAAATGTTTCTGTTTTGCATTTACTGCTTTTGTTTAGATGGTTCTTTGCAAGAAATTGTCGATAAGAAAATTCGTCCTTTATTTGGTCTGATGTCAGCTGGTGCCAAGTTCTTTCACAGGTGTGTATATTTATCTTTAAAGGGGTAGTTCACCCAAAAATGAAAATTCTGTCATTAATTACTCGCCCTCATGTCGTTTCAAACCCGTAAGATCTTCGTTCATCTTCGGAACACAAATTAAGATATTTTTGATGGAATCTGAGAGCTGTCTGACCCTCCCATAGACGGCAACACAACTGAAATGTTCCCAGGTCCAGAAACTTGGCAAAGGACATCAGTAAAATAATCCATGTGACATCAGGGGTTCAACCATAATTTGACGAAGCTACGAGAATACTTTTTGTGCGCAAAAGAACGCACAATACGACTTTATTCAACAATTCGTCTCCACCCTGTAGTGCCATTTTGGACAGCATACGCTGTTTACGTCTAGCGGATACTCTCCAAAATGGCGCTACAAGGTGATGTGGAGTAGAGCAGTAATCGGGCCTTAAAAGTTAGCCCGACAAGTACATTTTGATTGACAGCTTTTTAAAAGCCCGAACCCGTTTACTGCCCGACATTGTTCAAATGTGCGCACACACACAGCTCTTTTGCCTTTTGTCAAGAATGAGTTATTTATACATGTTTTAACATAATTTATTCATGACTAACGTAGGCTATAGGCCACTTGGAAGTTGGAACAAAGAAATTAAATATGTCCTCTGAAACATCGTAACATCTCAGCACTCTAAATAGACCTAGGCATACACTTAGCCTATAAATAGGCCAACGCGGCAATCAAAATGAGTCTTTCTTAACAAATTAAATTAAGATGGGTATTTGGCAATAACGAAATTAAGATAAAGGCTCCACGGGATTTTGAAATTTAATAAAAGAATAATGCCAACATTAGCCTATATACTCTGTCTACATTATGCATTTAAGACTCAGTTAATATAGTTATCATTTGAAAAACCTTTACTCACCAAGATTAGGCTACATGTTTTTGTGGAGGAAAATGATTGAATCCACTGTAGATGGCTTCAGCGCGGTCCTGCGCTCACTGATGGTGCGTCCAGCAGCACTGAACACCCTTTCACTGCTGCTGCTACTGGCTAGGATGCATAGTACTGATCTGGCTAATGTTGCAAGTTTTGGGTTGGATGGTTTGTTGATCTTCCACCAGCCAAGAACATTCATTTAATTTTCCATGACAGCCGTTTCAATGTAGCGAGTGACCTCGTCATCTTTCCAGTCAGCTTGCTGTACATTTTCCTCCTCGGCATCCATTTTCGCATCTTTCTCGCGCTAATCGAAACGCATCACATGACCGCTCATTTACTGCGCAAGCCCGAGCCCGTGTAAACTTATATAAATTAAGCCCGAACCCGGCAAAGATCGTCAGCTCTAATGTGGAGGAGACTAATTGTTGAATAAAGTCGTTTTTTTTTGTTTTTTTCTGTACAAAAGGTATTCTCGTAGCTTCGTATAATTGTGGATGAACCACTGATGTCACATGGTTATTTTACCGATCTCCTTGCTACGTTTCTGGACCTGGGAACATTTCAGTTGTGTTGCCGTCTATGGGAGGGTCAGACAGCTCTCAGATTCCATCAAAAATATCTTAAATTGTGTTCTGAGGATGAACGAAGGTTTTATGGGTTTGGAACCACATGAGGGTGTTCACATGAGGGAGTTCATTTTTGGGTGAACTACCCCTTTAAACATTGCCATGGTGCGTATTTGAATAATTTTGTTGTACTACAAAATGATAAACATTCCATGATATGGATATGTTTTCTTTCAGTCTGGGTGTGAAAAACCAAAAGGAAGCATAACATTTATGGGAACAGTTTATTTCAGTGAGTATGGAACTATTCTTTGGAATAGTTGTTGGTTGTGGCATTCAATAGTCTAATATTTTGCATAATAAACTGTTTGAATGATGTCGTACCAGGCAAAAAAAGTAATTTTTTAGTTGGTAAGTAGCAATGTAATAAACAGTCACATATGTAAATAATGTATAGTCAGTTGGTAATTATTAAATATTTTTATAAAAATCCACATTTTTGCCTGTACTTTATCCATAACATACTGAATACCAAATGTGATGTTAGTATATTGATGATAATACTGTTATTTGATTCCCAATTTAACAGAAACACTGATGTTCGAGATAATGTTGAAGGCTTACTACATCTGGAAGTAAGCAATATCATTTTTTAATTTTTCATGTGACTGCTATGAAGCCCCTAACAGAGCATGGTATTTAAAAAAAATAAAAATCGTTGAGAGAAAATTATATTTCAATTCTTTTGCATTCCCACAAGAAACTTAGCCATTCTTTAATTGAAATAACGTGAGTTGGGACTTGGGAAGAAAAACTATATTTCAGTGCTTTTGCGAGAGAATTTCTTGGGAGGAACGCAAAACAATTAAATTATATTTTTTCCTCTTATCTCATATTTTTTTCAATCACCATGTCCCCTTAGGGGCTCCACAGATTGCTTGTTTTCAAATATGTTTTTATGTTAGTAGGTAATATATGAAGTGTGTTTGAGTAGTTTAGTGTGCTGAATGGAGGTTTGTTTGATTGACAGGCGGAGTGGGATAGTTTTTTGAGACGTCTGGATGTTCAGATGCAAATGAGCGACACAGTTCTTTCCCGGTGTCCTGCAGCCCAGACGCTCAGCTCAGATATACAGTTTATTCACGTCCAGACTAAAGAGTGAGATAAACACATAATATCATTTCTATCCATATTCAAGCCACAATCCAGAACTGCTGACAGAGTATGTCTATTGAAACAAAATGAAGGCCTGCAGTTGCAACAGTTTATCACTCTACATTATGACTGTGATTACATCAGTGTCTCACTTATCGCATTATACCGTATATTCAAAGTCTATAAGATGTTTTTAAATGTTTAGAGGTTTACAGTTGTTTTGCCGGTTTTGGATAGTAGCTTAAAATCAGTTTCTAGCATGTCGTGCTTTGTGAGAGTGATTGTTTTGTTACCTGGTTGAAATTTAACCATGCATTTTTTTTTGGTAATGGACAACCCAGTAATAAAACTTATCTCTATATACAGTTAATGTTCATTGTTTTGTAAATTGAAATTCCAGTTAAGTTTTTGAATGAGGCAACAAATTGAAATTTAGAAGGAATACTATTACAGGGTATTTAATGCAATGTTTCTAGAAATTTTGAAAATAATATAATGTATGTATGTTTATTTGAATTGCACTAAATTCCTCTTCTTGTAATTCCAATTCAAATTCAATGTAATATCCTGTGAATTGTGGCTATTTCAGTTCAAATTCAAGCTCACAAGTTGATATGGCATGTGTGAACTGCAGCGTACTGCAGTAGAATTGAGACATATTAATGTATCTTTCCACAAATAGGATATACTTTGTTGTCCGATTTTGGCCCAAAGGTGTTTACCTTCTCACCTGTGTCAAATAAATATTCAATTCATTGTTTTAAAAAGCTGTTTTTAATGATTAAATCTTAACTAACAAAAAAATAAGTGTCCTACTGTATGATTTTACCCTGTTAAAAAATTGTCTTAAATCTTTAAAATTGTGACACCTAAGAAATAACATCATTTGAACCCTTTCTACAGCATGGCCAAGACAAGTAGCTAGGTAAATAATTCTGATATAGTTTCTTTACATTTAGTCTATTTAACATTTATTGCCAGAAAATGCATTCACATAAATCAGGGCTTAAACTGCATTTAGATTAAAAAAAACAAAAAAAAAACATTATGATCTAAGCTGCATTTAGATAATGCATTTCAAAGGTTGCAGAAATTATAAAGCTCGTGTACAATCAATAGAAAGAAAAAACAGCTGATATAGTACTTCGTTGAATGACGATTTGTTGAATGAGGAGAAAAATGGTTTTAAGAGATTCATGCTATTTGTGGAATGTGCCAAATCCATAAAAACAAACTCCAAACATTGCATAATACTCAGTGATAGAATAAACATTTGTCTCCCTGCAGTCTAGGACTCTTGAAAATGGATTAAAAGCCCTCTCCCTCTGTCTCTCTCAGATGGGTGGCGATTTTGTTCTGGACCAGGGTGGTAAAGTGATATTTTCCTACCGGTGTAAAAGCCCTGTGGACAGACCATCAGTTCCACAGATTCTGGCTGCCGTCGCTGCTCATTCATAGCATTCCTGGAGAAGTCCTGGAGAAAAAGGTCTTTGATGTTTTGTCTTTCTAGTATGTTAAACTGCTTGACTTGCTTCCTTTCCATCCTGATGAGAAGTTCCAGTTCCTGAAAAGTAATACTCGTTCATGTTTGTGCCAGACTTAGAATTTATTCTTCCATTTAGAATGATGGCCAAAATAATGTTCCAGGACCTCAGTTTGGCATGGAGGTCTGTTCATTTCCAGTGCAAATTTTGGCCTGAGTGGGTGATTTTACTTCTCTGTAAAATATAAAAATGGGAAGCTACTGTATTACTATGAGACTCGTACTTAAGGGAACACGAAACAAATATCATTTCAGGGTATTTAGGACATTAACTCCATTAGTCTATAGTAAATAGTATGTGTAAAGACAATGTCACTGACTTTAGGCCTTTAATGTGTTGCTATAGGTTGGCTCCACAGATAGACAGCTCCCCGGAGGTTGTATGGATGAAGATCTGACTCAAACTCATGCACTTATGAAGAGTCATTTCTGATGGGCATTTACACCCTCTGGTCATCTGTTGAGTTATAGTAGCACTAGTCTCGCGTAGCCAGACCTTCAGACTGACGGCTGAAGGTCTGGAATCCATGGCAGCTTTCATTGGCCAAAGCCCGCCCATGAGGCCGTTTGACCGACTTGCCAAACAACCAATCACAGTTTGTTTCGTTCAGCGTCACGTTTCGGGGCGTGGAAATGTCGCCACAATAACAGACCGGTGTGTAAAACTCTCGGACGTATTTTAAAGATTCTATGCCGTGAACTTTAAATATTTCACATACTTTTGAAACTCCAGCGTTTAGTTGATCCTAATAAGCGCCCCTTCTTTCGTGAGGGGGTTTGGCGTCACGGCATCTTTGTTTCCAGACGGAACGTTAAAGAACGCGCCACGCACGTCTCCCGGAAATCCTGTAGCATTCAACCAATCTGATGACGACTTCGACACTCCTGAAGTGTTTCCACTTTTGTGTCCCATATGCATCAGACGTTTAGCCAACGGTCCGTGGGCGTGAGACTATAGTAGCACAGACCTGTCTGACCTCTATATCACACATCAGTCTTGATTAGATGAAATTAGATTATTAAATAAAAAATGTTTTTACATACGTTGTTACATACGTTTTACAATTATTCAAGACATATGAAATGAAATAATCTATTAAGCTGTTTAACTATTTGCTGTGAATGGTAAATGTTTAGAAATTTTTTTATAAAATGATTATAGATTTTAATTTCTTTGATTATTGAAATCAACACTGAATAAAGAGCTGAATGTTGGCCAGAATGAGACTGGACTTTTGTCCACCATTCAGCATAGCTCAAGAGTTTTATTTCACTTTAAACCTGCTTCAATAGTTGCCAAGTGAAACAAATTCAGCTTTGAAAACAAATACAGGGTTGAAACAACAAGCCATAATTCTAAAGAATTTTAGAACAATAAAGAAAACACATTTCTGTTACAGTTTTGAACACACGTCTAAAACAGCACTAATTTAATACCAGAACCAGGGCAAATGTAGACCACCCTTGGAATAATACAAACGTTAAACATCAAAAAGATTACATAATTTATTATATTTCAGTACGTTTTCATTTGTCCATGATCTTCAAACCTTTATTACAAATGTTTCCAGTACTGGCTTTAAGATCCCATGAATATTGGCCATTTAGCCATCTACAGTATAGGATGTTGTATTTTTTGTAAAGTTTGTTCACTTTTAGCAGATATACGCTTTTTAAAATATACAGTATTTCTCTTCTCTACGCCCTACAATATACGATCCAGAGGAGAATCCTATCCCCCTTCCTCAAAGCCAGTTTAAATGTGCTATCTTGAGCTAGGAGACGAACTCATTTGCTTGCTAACTGAAAATACTAAGAAAGAGACATTTTTAATTTGACCATTTTTTAGCTTCAGTAATATAAAATGATACATGTATGTAATATGTAATTCAAAAGGCATTAACATTTTCATGAATACAGGGTAAAAATATTTATAGTGCATATAATAATGCGCCTATATAATAGCGCATAAAATTTGTCTCAACCAATGGAATTGCTTTGGGATTTAAGGGGGACAGGAAGTTAAAGGATTAGTTCACTTCCAGAATAAAAATGTCCTGATAATTTACTCACCCCCATGTCATCCAAGATGTTCATGTCAACTTCACGCATTACGTAGTCACGTTAGAAAGGTCACGCATGAAGTAGGCGGAAGTACCGACCCAGTGTTTATAAAGTGAACGTACAAAGACTAAATCAAACACCTTTTACAAAAAAAAGGTAAAACAACGATGTTGGACGATTTCGGAGTTGGAGGAGAAAATTTTGATGGAGTTTGGTACTACTTCGATACTGCCTACGTCACACATAAACTTTTCAACGTAGCTACGTAATTCTTTGTGGACGCACATTGCAGAGCTAATGCAAGATGAGCATTTGTGGTTAAAAAGTATATACATTTTAATTTTTTTATTGTTTGTTTTGCTAGATAAGCGCTTCGATTGTTTCGCTAGATGAGACCATTATTCCTCGACTGGGATCATGTAGAGCAGTGGTTCTCAAACTACAGCGGCGTACCCCCTCTCTTCCACTTAGACCGCAGTCACACATTTTCTATTAAAGGACAATATTTGCCCCTTAAATTGATTTACAGGTGCATTTTTTACCTTTATAGAGGCAAATATTTTCTATTCTTATTAATTGTATGTCATATTTTATGTCATATTCGTAACATTCCATTAAGTGTATTATTAATTAAGTGCAAATCAAAGTGATATGGTAGATATAAAAATAAAACCAGTAGGTGGCGGCAAGTCGCTGTCTTAATGAGCCAGGCATCGTGTCATTCATTCATTCATTCATTCAGCAACTAAGCAAAATGCTGTATTTATGAATGGGTTATTAATCACTGACTCTCCAGATCGTTCAAAGCTGCAGATTCGTTCACTAATGAAACACCGCTGTATGATGCTTGGAGACGCACACCAGATGATACGGATTTCGTTGGAACTGTTATTTCGTTGCAAAATAAAACAAACATGACAATATTCTGTTTAAAATGTAGGCTACATTCAAAATGTAACACACCAGATGATATTTCGTTGGAACTATTATTTCGTTGCAAAATAGAACAAACATGACATTATTCTGTTTAAAATGTAGACTACATTTAAAATGTAAAATGTTCACTTAATATTACCTTTTTTGTTGAACCGTTGTAAAAATTAATGCCACATTTGCCATCATTTGGATATTCAGGGAAATTTGCATTCTTGCTCGTATCTTAAACATGAAAACAATAACACGCACAGAGTGTGTCTGTATCGAAGAGAGTTTAAATCAATCTCAGTCCGTGTCAATATTTGCTCTTCATGCTATTAAGTGAAGATCTACTTTAAAGATACATTGAACAGCAGCGTGATTTGCTAAATCAGCATATTCAGCGGGCATCCTATCACATGCACACTGCTTGTGTGGATGCAGTCAGTTTTGACCGCAAAAGATGAGGTAAGCTGATTGGATATCATGAATTGCTTGTCAGAAATGCATGTTCGGCTTTAATGTTACTTTAAGTTGGGGTAGAATTAAATGAATGCCAAAACTCAGAATTTTGTTCGCGTACCCCCCTCCATCATCTCACGTACCCCAGTTTGAGAACCACTGATGTAGAGCCCTTTGAAGCTGCACTGAAACTGCAATTTGGACCTTCAACCCGTTGGTCCCCGTTGAAGTCCACTATATGGAGAAAAATCCTGGAATGTTTTCCTCAAAAACCTTAATTTCTTTTCAACTGAAGAAAGACATGAACATCTTGGATGATATGGGAGTGAGTAAATTATCAGGAAATTTTTATTCTGGAAGTGAACTAATCCTTTATAGATTCCTGCTCCCACTTCCTGTTTCAATAGGAAAAATGTTAACAGGAAAGAAAATTGCATTTATCAAACCATTTCATGGGATCATTAAATTCACTGGCCCTAATTTTTTACCTGTGCAACAACTGTTTATAAAACAGTTAATAGCTGCTCTTGATATTTAAAAAAAATCTTAATTAGAAGCCATTTAGGAAAGTGTCAAACATCAAACTCGCACAGATAATACATGCGTCTTTCACAGTAGGTGTCCCACCAGTCTCCATCATCTGAAGACATGGCTACACAGTTCTCTCGTTTCCCACCATCTGGCTGGCTTGACAGGAAGTGCTTCCTCCACTGGAAGTAAGTGACACGAGTTGTGTCCTCAAATAGGTAGAGGCCTTCAGAACGCTCGTCATTGATCCCAAGCCAGACAGGCCAGTTTCCGTGGAATACTGATTTCACATATTCAGCCAAAGCTTCCTGCTCCTTGCGATCTCGTGGCATAGCCATGCGTCCTCCTCGCTCCTGACACTTCTTGGATGCATCTGCGTAGGTCTCATACACACGGTATGCCAGGAAGCATTTGTAACCCATTTTACGGCCTTTCTGGCAGCCTGGAACCACAAAATCATTTTCATCATATTTTAATAAAATACAGAATACAAAAGTTCATGAGTGTCAAGGAGAGTATTTTGCTGTCATCTTAACAAGATTTGCCCAAGTAGTACATATTCCTGGACCAACAACCTTTCCGGTCCTGGAACATTACTATTAAACTGTCCAATTTTAGTGTTAAGTTTCTTTAGACATTAGGACCTAATCAAAAAATGAAAACCAGCATACACAGCATGTGTGATTTTCCTATATAACTTTCAGATCTCAAAACACTACGAGAGTTTAGGTAACTAAAATTTGACAACTAGGTGTAGCTTTGGGAATAATGTTTAGGGTAGGAAACTGGAGTTAGGTCTGAAGGTTAGAAGGTGTTGGGAATAAAGGACAGAAATTAGAAATGGAGATTAAGGGTCAAGATTTGAACTAGAGGTTGGAGTTAGTATTTTAAGTCTGGAATTTCAGGACTAGAAGGATCAGAGGTAACACTGCAGGGTTAGGATTGGGTTAGGTCAGGGGTGTCCAGTCCTGTTCCTGGTGAGCCACCTTCCAGCAGAGTTTAGCTCTAGCCCTTACTAAACACACCTGAACCAGCCAGCCAAGGTCTACAGGATCAATAGAAACGTCCAGGCAAGTGTGCTTGAACAAAACTCTGCAGAAAAGTGACCCTCCAGGAGCAGGATTAGACCCCTTGTTAGGTCAAATGTTGGGAGCTGGAGGGATCAACGGCAGGAGTAAGGCCCCAGTATACTCACAGCAAAGATCTTTGCTGTTCTTTGCTTAGGGTTAAAAATAAATTTCAAAAGAAGTTTCAAATACCTTTGCAGCGGTATATTGTTAACATGGGCAAATTTGGGATTTTTAATGACCACACAGTGTCAGGATCTCGGTTTAACGTCTCATCCGAAAGATGGTGTTTATCAGCCAGAGCAAACCCGAGAGCAACATCACGTTTTCAACCCCTCTGGTTCTACTCCCCCGGTTTTACTCCACTGACTTACTCCAAGAAGGATTTGAACCGGCGTTTCCAACAAGGACGTTAAAGACCGTAGCTTCTAGCATCAGTTGATTGTGCACCTCTTAAGATCAGCGGAATGAGGTTTACCTGCGCAGCTCTTACCAGCTGGCCTCCGTTACAAGGGACTACAGCAATGAGTGCTTCAACTAATTTCTGGATTAAAAAAAAAAGTTTAAGTTCACAGCTAAAAGTCATTTAAGTGTTTTGTTTGAGGCATTTTGAATTTAAAAGAGATGTGTTGACAATACCTATAGACACACCTATAGTTTACCTATAGCATACAAGAAAAGTTATATTTTTTCCGAGCTTGGTTGAACCTCTGGATTCTGTGTGATTTCATGTCATTAGTAGTGTGTCCTCTGAAATACCTCACTAAGAAGGAAATATCTGTGGCATACTCAGGTAAATATGTGACATTTAACATGCCCCTAAACATGACGTTGAACAAAACATAACTGTGATTGGTCACTTTTCAGATGAACTCTTCCTGACTAAGTGAGCAGTCGTTGGCCAATTTCAGTGGCTGTAGAGCCCAAACCTTATGTCGTTTGGCAATGGTCGGGCTACATGAGACTAGGATTAGGGTTGGGATGGATTTATGACTATAACTTGACTACACATGACATTGTTCCAGGTCCAACAAATGGTGTTGATCCCACTTGTTCTGCCTAATTATTTGCTGCCCAAATAACCTTATGTATTGGGTCATCGTGAACAAAAGGTTCAACTTGAGATACTGCCCTTGAAATAAACGGTCCCCACCTTACTTTACATTTGGTAAGACCCTCAGTAATAAAAACATGGATTCTTTAAGCACAGCTAGATTTCCACTGTTGACTACAATGCCCTTTATAGCCCACAACTATGAGCCCAAAGGTAAAGACAGTAGATAACCCACTAACCCTCTAGTCGTCCGATCTCTTTGCGATTGTCCTTGCAGTAAGACGAGACTTGTTGAATGGCATCCTCAGTGTTGCCTAATCTATTCTCAAGTCGTGACATTCTTTCCAACAGTTGTGTAACTTTAATGTCCAATGTGTAATGTCCCACATTAAGCCTGTGGATAGCTTGATCCATCGCTGCCAGTCTAGACACTGCAAAAATGTATAAATAGACAAATGTGAATCCAGTATTTCATTAGTGAGTTATGCTGCTGCATACCAGTGAATTAATAGAATATTAAGAAACTGTGTTGTGGAGGGGGAAGGGGATGACAAGGTAGCTGATGATATAGAGTGTCTGGATTCTTGAGTAGCAGGGTTTTTTTTTTTTTTTTTATAGAATCTTACTGAAGTTGCATTATGTAATTTACATACCCAGACTATTAAATATTACCATACAAACAAGCCTTCATGTCATGCCAGGACAAACAACACCTGCATTTGTGCAGGCTGTTATTGCAATTAGAATATATGCAAATATACATTCCGTTGGATTGGTTTTGGCTTGTTTTTCTGGCTCTTCAGATGGAAGTGGGTAAGTGAAGCGAGTGTTTGGTTAACGCACGGATGTAGTTGTAAGTGCTCTCCATTTCAGAGACTGCAGTGGTGGGTTCAGGTTCTATGATGTCAGGAGTGTCCCCTCGCCCTCTAACCATCTCCTCATTGAACACTCTCACCTGTAGAATTAAACGACAGCAAAACCACCATCAAAACCAGATTTAAGGCTGGAATACACTACACAACTTCTGCCCATATTTTTGCCCCAATTTACACTGAAAGAGTCAACAGTAGTTGCCAAAATTCAGAGGCAGTCTGCAATTTTGGGCAGTCACAGATTTTGCAGAAAATTGCGTAGTATATGATGACCACATTTTTTTTTAGCTTGGCAGGATATAAAAGAGATTTAATTCTTTGAGCCAATTGTAGAACAAATAATGTTTTCATTTTACATCGATTTCCTAGCAATGTTTCTGTGTGGGTTTGTTGTGTTCAGAGCACTGTGTGACCCTTAGTCATAAAAGTGTATGATGCCCAATTTTCCTCTGTAACCAATATTGGCCAAATATGTGATGCCTAGTGGTTTGAATCACACTGGAGGTCCTGGCCAGGCACTTCAAGTAATGTGATTGCTAATCAAGGATGTTTTGTAGCAACCAGAAGTGTATGCCCTTGACTTTTGCTCCTACTTAATAAATGCAGACACATTTTGAACTAGCTTCATCATTCCAAAGCGGAACAGTAACCCCAAGTAGAAAACCATAGTGATGCAGCATCATGGTACAGTGATGGCATCATATGGTAATACCCTGGTATTTTGATGCATGTTAAGGTGTTTACATTATACTCCAAAGCACTTCAAAGAATACCATTTTTTAGCATCATGGTAGGTTTTTGAAGACACATTTTGTAAATTAAACTTACAAAATTGTTTCAATGGAACACATTAATTGTGTTTATATATCAAGTTATTTTTAAAGAAAATGTCACCGTAAAACAGTAAATAGATAATTTCCCACAAAGTAAATCTAAAATCTTAACCTGAGACAGATCAGCTGTTGTGATGGCCGGTCTCGTGGTGTTCTCGCCAGAGTAACAGGAAGACAGAGCGCTGAAGCCCACTACTGCCGCCAGAATCACTGTTAGACTCATCTCCACTTCAAATCACTTCACTTCATAAATCCCTTTCTTCTGTTCAGCCAGCTCTCCGTCTTACTGCATATATTCACAACTCCGGATGTTCACTCAACAGCAACCTTCTCTCCTCCTTTCACATCGCTTTCAACTCTGTCTCTCTCTATCGTTCACCTCTATACAGCTCTGTTTTGTTTTAGCCTCCTCCCTCTCGGCAGCTGTCGGATACTTTTCCTCCTCCTTTCACCTTGTCTGAAAGATTCCTTTTTTCTCTCTCTCTCTTTTTCTGTTTTCTTTCTTTCAGCTGCTTGTTCCTGAGAGTTTTATACCCAAACACTGGATTTTTTCCCCCATTCCTCCCACTTCCATTCTTTGTGCTAACATGGCAGTTTTACTGACACAGCTGTTTCTCCCTCTTCCATAAACATTTAAATAGATCTTCATTTTCTTGTCCAAGACTCAGCTTTCTGCTTTTGTCCCTTGGGAACATGCTGTTCTGTAGAAGTCAATAGTGGCCGAATGACAGGAAAATGATGAACGTCTCATTACCAGCTGAGTTCCGTCTCCACACATGGAAGGAATTTGGACTTCTCGTCCTCTAAACAGGACACTTCTCTCTTTCTTGCTCACTTCCTCTGGAGGAGACTTTGGAAGGGAGTTAGAAGTAAGAATGGAGTTTTGCCCAAAAGAATCCAGTTCATTACATAAAGTCTAACTAATCAAATCTCTCCCAGATGACTGTGTCTAGACATTATACGGTACAAGAAACAGATAAACAGCTTAGATGTCTACCTTTGTCAAATAACAATTAGAAAGAACTCCAAAACCATGGATATCTACTGTTGTTAGACTGATCTAATCCACCTATCAACTGAACTGCTTAAAAATAATTCAGATATAGCCTTTGAATGGTTGAATGACCTCTTGGAAAACTACAGGACCACTTTCCAGTCAGAAATGAACAAGGCCTTTTTCAAAACATGTGGCGCAATAACGTCAATCCACCAAAATAAAAATGACTGCCTGGGGAAATAAACTCATATTTGGAGCATTTTGAAAATGCCACATATGTGACCAATTATATCAACGCACATCCAACAGTTATATTTGACTAAAATAAATAATAAACAATGAACTGACAAAAGGCAGAAAACTGTCACGGGATTTATGAGTAGAGCTCCATCTTTCTGTTTTCAATTAGTGCTACACTGCCCCCTACCAGGCAAGAGACGAATGAGACAAACTACAAGAGTTAGTGTACTTCTTTTATTGTACTTATCTTCCATTACAGATATATGAATGCATAAAAATACTGGCTCCAGGCCACGCATTCGTATTCAACAAAAACATCTCGCAACAAAGCTCCAAAATTGATTCCTACTTTTGAACCCTAGTTAGCTTAGCCCTGAATCATACGACAGACAAGTACGTAAATGCAAACGTCGATTTCACACGTCCAAAATCAAGCATGCCGTAAACATCAAACGCAAGCGAAGAGCGAGTTATATCTATGCGTTTACAGCTAGCTACCTGAACAATCGCACATTCAGTTTGTTAACTCTATCGCCCCCTTGAGTTCTGGAGGTTGTAACTGCCATAACACCCGTTTAATGTTGCATCCACATTTGCGTACTTGCGTGGAGTATGTTTTGGGCCTAAACAACGAATGGAGAAAGTCAATGATTCACTTCAAAGCATATAATGAAAGTAGCACGCATATAAAAGGTCTACAAAACAAGCAAGGCGCAAGTCACCTCCTCAAAACCATGCTAGCGCTACGGTGTCTCATTTAGGTCCTTATCAATAAAAGTACAGTGAAGCATCTTAACACTAGTTTTGAGGTCTAGATAAATATAGATAAAAATGTATGGCAGTGATGGTGATGTAGCATTCACACTAGTAGTTTTAGTGTGGATCTGAGTTCTGGCTTGTTTGATTAATGTATCTTCCAAACTTCTGTAACCGCACACAAAGGAATTTTACTTAAGTCCGAAAGAGGGGTTTGTTTTAATGTGAACCACAGTATGGTTCGTGGTTGATGTGAATGCAATCCAGAAGTGGGCTGGTACTGATTCAGTATATTGTGCCAGTTTGATAGTCACATCAAACATTGTTCTGCAACTTTAAGATTTCAAACTTCATTGCCTGGATACACAGGATAAACAGCTTTTGGTGGTTCTAATGTTGATGGTGAAAGAATTTTTGCAAACATACCACAGTTTAGAATAACAATAACAGTGGGAAAGCAGACCAACAGGGCCAGGAGAGTAGAGTCGATGGGTTCTGACTCAAGCAAATGTACCAAGTGTGAAAGGAACATATGCTCTGTTTAAAATCCTATCTGATGTATCATAGCTCATGCATTCAGTAACTTCTAACCAGTGAGATGGAGTCAGACAGATTAAGATTTTACTACAATCATAGAGATATTGATGCACTCTAAAGAAACATCACCGAAGCATTTGGACTTAAAAGGAAAGTGTTCGGTAGTTTTGGGTTTGTGGTGCTTGAAGGTCCTGTGATCTGGAATGGGTTCTTCAGGATATTCATGCGTTACCAGTTGTCCAAGAAGTCAAATCCAGTCTTCAGGATACTGCTGCTTGTGTTAAACTGAAAAAAGGAAATACAAACATTTATGTTGTTAGTGGTTAAAAGTTAGTAGAAAAAAATCAAGAGAAAATGTGGGTCAGTGACTTACAAGTGTAAGTAAAAATAAAAGAGTAAATGCATAAATTAAAATAAATAAATAAAATGAATAATTTAGATTATGTATATAATTTTTATTATAATTTAGATTGTTGGCATATATACATACATATATATACACATACATACAAATATATATATACATACACGCACACATACCTACATATACTCAACCAATGAGAGCATTTGTGGTGGGCCTAAGACTGCAGCAGCGTTTACATGAACGCTCCCGATAAAATTATTTAGGCTAAGCATCAACATTCACAAACCACTGTTCACCGTTATTTTTAACAGAAAAGAATGCAACGTGCTCGTAATCACAACTTCATAAGTGGGGAAATAGGAAGTATCCGATAGCACGTGACGGCAGAAGCACTCTCGCTCAGCACAGTGGCGTGCATCGTTTTAAACTTTGTGGTTTATTGTTTTGAGTCATTTGCTGCACGTATCATAAGTTGGTTAGTGCTCACACTCGCTGATCTATATATAACTGAACCGCACTCTGGCCCACCTATTCCTAACGAATCAGGGACAGAGCGGCATGGAGCGATCACACTAGTCAAAAGAACTGGGCTTTGGGGGTCAGACGCACTCGGGCATGGTTAAGATTGCCTAGTGTGAGTACACCCTTATTCACCCGCATCCCGCACACACGAGTCTCCACCCGCCCGCACCGCACTCGCCCATCAAGTGTTGTCCCGCACCGCACTCTGTTGCGTTGGGTCCCGCGATCGTGCAGGTCTCAAAGGTACCTGTTATGATGGAGGCTCTGGACTCTGAGCATAACTTGTTTTTTCTATAACAAACTATAAAATATTTTCTATAAAAATGTTAATGCCCTGGCAGTGGCAAATAGCTTGCTTTATATTTAATTTGATTACATTAAAGGTGAGGTAAGCCATTTTTCAAAAATGCTTTAGAAAACTGATTTTGGGCCGACTATCAAAACAAACTTGTAGCCAATCAGCAGTAATGGGCGTGTCTACTCATGATGTGGAGGAGAGAGCGTTCAGTGCTCACATTAAGGCGGGTGTACACGGTGCGATTCTGAAGGTCAGAACGTCGTGAGCTCTGGCACATGTCACGATTGAGTTTATCCAAAAAATCGTACAGAGGCAGTCACACACGACACGAATTTACTACGATTTTACAAACTCTGACGTAAGCATTACATTTGGCGCCATTCATAAAAATATGGATTCTGAGAACGAAATAGTTTTCTTCGTGGCAGGCGGCTTGTGACGTCCAAAAAAAACAAAAAACAAAGACAAAGGACATGGCAAAGAGAATGGCTGACAAGCAGAGAAAAGAATGGACTTTCTGTTCTTCATAAAGAACTCGAGGGAGTAGGCCATTTCTGAATTTCTTCTCATTTTGCCGGAAATACAACAGGCATATTCATTCATAAAGCTGAACGGCAAATTTGGCACATTCGGAATAACAAATAAAAAATTGAACTGTATAATTAAACTAAAATGATTATACAGGGTGTCTACAGATATGAACAAGTTAAATTTAAGATTTTTTAAGACCTTTTTAATACCACCTTATGTGAAATTTAAGACCAAGCCTGTGATGGAAATACACATTATATTACATACGTATATATAATATTTAACGCGTTTAAATGTAAAAAGAAAAAATATCATTGCTGTCAAAAATGCTATTTGTTATTACGATATACAGTGAACTTTTCATATCAGCAGACAATATCCCATACAAAATATTCCCACAAAACAAAAGTGTCGCATCACCGAGATTTTTGGTGGTGTAAACAATTTATTCTGAAGCAATATTTTCATCAGTTTTCTGTCAGCTTTTACATACTTAAATCTGCATGTTTTTAATATTTACCACAGGATGTAATTTACCTTTATAAAGGTCAATATTTTTTTTAACCTTATTAAATGTATGCGTCATCTTTCAAGTGAATTTTGATCATACAAATAAGAAATGTTGGGGGAAAATGCATACTTTTAAGCATGAGACTAAACCGCCAGTAGGTGGCTGTAAGTCAATTATTCATTCAACCGATTCCTTCAAACCTCTGAATCATTCAGTAACAAAAACGCCGGGTGTGGCTTGGAGAATGTGTGCAATAGTTCTGTTCTGATCTTTGTTTGGAACCATTTTCGTTGATGAAATAGAACAAAACAGTGAATTGTGTCTAAAAATGTAAGTAACTTCATATACTTTACTACTTGTATGTTGAACTAAAATCAATGTAACATTTGCAATCGTGAAAATATCCAGCAAAATAGATCCCTTGTCATGGTATGTTACTTGACTATATCATGCTATAAATAAACTAAACGAAGAGGATGATGTCAGGAAACAGTGGTTGCAATTTATTTTTTAACTCTGTTCCTGAGCATTATAACCCCAATTTGCTATTGTGTGCTGCTCATTTTACTGAGGACATTGCAATCAAAATATTCAGCAAAATAGATCACTTGTCATGGTATGTTACTTGACTATATCATGCTATAAATAAACTAAACATTTAGCATTTTTACCTCAGTATGTTTGTTCTGTGAGTTTCTTTATGTGTGCCGTACTCTCATTTGATTTGATTTCTCCATGAAAGTCTCTCACAGACAGGCAGCATAGAAATACACTATCAATTATCAATCGCTGTTTAAGCTGAATGTGATAAAATCAGAAGAATCATTCGCGCGTTTTGATGTGTGATTATATTTTGTCACTTAAGTTTTAATCAGGCTATTAGTCCTGTCGGGCAAGTACAATTCTCGAGCCATTTTTCAGTAAACTTGCATTAACCCATTTAAAGTAGGTCGGAGGCTGGTCAGCGAGCTGCTGTTCGACTGTATTCTGTAACCGCAATTCTCTCTGATGACGCGGTAACTAC